CAGCCTTCTGCATCGCGCAAACGAGCCGGTTCCTCAGCTTCTGCGCTGCGGCACTTTCCGTCTTGGCAGATGCAAAGGCAGGCGCTTCCTTTGACCGAGGCTCGGAGCAGCCCTGGAGAGACGCCCAGCCGTTGCTGGCCGCCCATTTGCGGTGCCTTTTCTCGGGCAAGGACTTTTTTTCAGTGTCCCCACCCGGTTCCGCAGAGCTTTTTTTGAGCGTCATCAAGTCAGTTCGATGCTGCGCGGGATCTTGTAGATTAGGTTCGGGGGCAGCTAGGACCTGCAGCAAAGTATTCTTGAGCCGGATGGCTGCTGTTGGGGATCCGTCTGCCCCCTTCCCTGAGATACTCCATAGCAGTGTTTCTCCCCCTTGGGTGCTTTAAGCTGCGTGGACTTCAACTCCCAGAATTCCCCGGCCAGCATGCACTTTCACTTTCACTTTCTCCCTCTTCCCCCCCGCCCTCAAGAATTCAGTATTCTCGTTATATTGAGCTTCCCCCAATGTGTTCCATTTTATTTTAAAACTCTTTTGTCCTGCAAACTTGAGATTTCCCCAAGCCAACTCTTGTTTTCAGTAATCCTATAAATTCTTGACCCTGAGTACACACCTCTCTCTTGAAAAACAGCGGATGCGTGTTGTTCCCAGATCTGTAACTATGTCCACAGTTTTAAACCATTTTGCCTTCAAGAAAGGGTGTCTTCAAATATGTCAATCAAGCAAAGCATTTCAGAAAGAATGGACATCTGAGCTGTCAATCAATCAAACCATTTCGGATAGGATGGACAAATCAGATGTCAATCAATCAGAGCATTTCAGATAGGATGGATAAATCTGAGATGTCACATTACGTTCACATGCAGTTCAGTGAAGTCAGGATGGACCAGCTCTCTGATCCCTGAAGACATCAAAAGTTGCTTCCTTTACAGCACTGTTTCTTAAAACGTGGTCCTAGCCTGGGGGTCCCCCAAGACCCTCTCTGGGCTCCGCAAAATCAAAATGATTTGCCAGCCTACGTTGAAAAATAATACAATTTTAAAATCCTATCAAGCGACCGCAAGAAGCTAGAGTAGCAGCGAATGCGTCCATTTTAATTTTGAATATGGTAAATATTGATAAAGATCACCCATGCGAACAAAAGCTTTTTTGGAGCCCTCTGTAATTTTTAAAAGTGGGAAGAGATCCTGAGAGAAAAAAAGAGTTTAAGAAACACTGCTTTACAGCAAGCCAAAAATGCAATTTCATTTATCTGAAGCATAGTATAAATCTTAGCAGGTAAATAAGAACAGCCTGTGCTCTGTTTGAAAGATACATTCTTGTTGGGTTAAAATAAGGAATGCTGCCTTAATTTCCAGGAAGAAGAATGGAGGTAAATGCAATAAATAGCTTCTTTCTTAAACTTGGCAGGGTCGAATCTGACTGCTAGACTGGCGGTTATGTCATTTTGCAGAAGAGGTAGGCAATATTAAAAGAGGTGGGTTGTTTTTTTGATGCCCAAAAGCTCTGAGCACTGTCTTTTTTATTTCTTACAAACGGTGACTTTGGGAAAAATTAAAATGATCGTTTTTTGCTCCCCAAAGCAAAGCCACGCTTGTTTTTTGCAAGACCCACGTGCAGATCCGATAGATTTGTCCATCATTCCATTTCTAATTTTCTCTTTTCCTCTAAAACCCTTTTCGATCAGGCATGAGCATCCTTCAGGGCAAAGAGGATATTTTCGCAGACTGTCAGCAGAAATTCTGGAATACGTATAAGGTGAGCGCAGGCTTGTCACACGCGGGATCCTATCAATTAATGCCTCTGTAGCATGTATTTTAAAATTTATTATATATTCTGAAATAAGTAGCACAAATAAGAAAATCAGGTACAGATACCAAAATATGGGCAGATAAACAACAAATCTGAAATATCGTAAAACGAATATGCCTTTTTGGTACTCGTAAGCTTATGCAATACAATAGAACAAAAAGAAAAACTAATCTATTCCAATACATGATATGAAGCTTATAGTATTATGAGATATTTCACATTCATTTTCTAGACAAAATCCACTTATCCCCGTTAAGCCTTATGCTAAAATAAACTTGGTTAACTTTGTCCATATCACTGAAAGAAAACTGTAAGTAGTAAATAACGCCTTCCAAATAGCCTATCCTTACTTGTATTTTTAGCGGATGATTTTTCCAAGCATATTGTTTCTAATTCTGGAAATAATATATAGCCGTTACAATTAGCAGCCATTGACAATTGCTATCCTTACTTTCTGAAATCAGCTTGATTTCTTTTCCCCCCAAAGGGTAGTTTGATGGGAAATGAAGTCCCTTAATAAGGAGATCAAAACAAAAGAGGTTTTTTGGCAAGATTCTTGCCAAAAATCTCCTGCCTTTTCAACCAAGTTTGTTACTGCAGAATCCTGGAAACCTAAAATACATATTTCATTGGATCAGCAGCATAGGGAATTGCATTGGCTGAAAAATTAATGCATCTGTAAAGACCTTTCCAAAAGCCTAAAAGGCAGAACAAGGCAGAATAAATTTATTCAAATTAGTCACTGAGTATCAACCATGTTTTTCTTAATGAATTTCCTTTGCATATATACTCCGGATAAAAATATTCACTATGGATTCTAAAATGTTTGCATTTCCCCTTAGGATCACATAGGGAGTATTTTTGACCTCTTTTTTTCTCCTTTATCCCTTTTCTTTTCTTTTTAACTCTGATTATTTTTCACCTTTCCCCCCCAATATTTAGTCACTGCAAGTTTAATTAGAAATATGAGGTTGAGGACCTACATCTATGTAGGCTGAGCAAAATAGTAACACCTGAAACAAAAGCAGAAAACAACATTTGAAGACTTAACTGAATTTCACTACAAGATTGAAAAAATATAGAAATTAGCATGTGCTTGGTTGAGACAAATCGGTATTATGTGATGTGTAATTCTGTAGATCAGTGTGGTCCTAGTACCCCGAGGGGGGGTTCCCCAAGACCTTCTCAGCAGTCCCCAAAATCAAAATCATTTGTTGAAATGTTAAAAAATCATACAATATTAAAATGTCAACAGGCAATTGTGAGAAGCCGCGGCGGAAAGTGTCAATATTAATTTTTAATACAGTAAATATTGATAAACAGAACCCATACAACCAAAAACTCTTTGGGGGTCCTCTGTAATTTTCAAAAGTGGGAAGGGTTCCTGAGAGAAAAAAGTTTAAGCGACACTACGATAGGTTATGGAATAAAAAAGCACGGATGAAAGAAAATACTAGAGTCTTGCTTTAAAAAGGAAAGAAAAGTGAATGTTGGCAGACTGTGCTCGTGAAGGTGCAAACACACACCCTTTTGTGGTTGTGTAACTGCTTCTGATCACGCTTCGTTTCATTTCTCTCAGATTTCTGGTCTCTGAAAGCTCCTATTAGAAACGCAAAAGAGCAAAAACTTTGGGGGGTGTGTGTGAAAGGAAGACAGCCATTTGAAGGGGCTTGCCTCATTTGCTAATGAAAGAGAACTTAATTTCTCGAAAGATTCGTTTGCCAACCTGGCAAAGGGGCAGACATATTGGGCATTGTGTAATTTTGGCATTTTTAAAAGTGACAGTTAAGCAATCCAAATCAGGGCGGGTAAGAGAAAGAATTTTAAGCATGAATTTCCCACCCACGTGCATATGCTGGCTTTACACGCTGCACTGAGCTGCGGTTTGCAAATTAGGGTTTTTTGCATAAAGCTGGGTTTGTACAGCCTATTCACTCCTCAACTGAGACAAGGACTGGGTTAATCTGAAATGTGACACCCTGAATGACGGCTTGGGGGCCATGGATGAATGTAACCGTGCTTACGAAGTGCAGTGACAGGACTCAGGCTACACACTGAGCCAGATCGAAGGAAATGACACAATGGCATAGTGTGATGCGGAAGCGTAAGAAACACGCACAGTTCCTTTCCACTGAATACCCTTTCAACCAGCTGGAACTCATCCAAACAGCCTATGGGGATTGCAGGCTTTTAGGGGTGCCACGGATCTTGAAGAGATCCGTGGCTAATTGCAGGCTGAGCAGAAAGGTGTCCCTTTTCCTCTGAACACAGAATGTTTAAAAAAAAAAATTGCATTTTTTTCCTATCTTGATTAACTATTTTAAACATAAGCATGAGGCTTTATAGGAAAGCTACGGATCATTTTTCTCATACTCCCCTTTTGCCTCTCTGTAATCCAAGAATTGTTTTTATTTCAGACGGGGTTGATGTACTGGCCTTTTGTCCAGGTGAGTGTCAGCCTTGCCTGGGATGGAAGAACCTGAAATCCACCTTGCAATTTTGTCACAAGATTTCCTCTCCATTGTAAAGACGCTTCTGGTTTTCCACTTTCTTCTCAAGGTGCTCTACTGTTGGAGGCTGTAGAAGGCATGTCCCTCCTGGGGTTGATTTTCTGTTGCACCTTTTGCTAATCTCAAAAATCTTGTAAGAGTATTTCTTGCCTTTGTTTGGGATTAAATGGAAGCATGGGGAGCAGACCAAAAGGATGGTTTAATGAAAGAGCGAGCATTTATCCCCATTCTATAGCTAAATTAGTACTCAATAACTACAAGACTACCACAACAGACTGATGAGAAGTTCACCTACCTTCTCTTTCTCCTTTGAAAGCATTTCAGAAGGAAATTCTCCTTTCATCCAATACAGAAGGAAAATAGAAGCAGGAGAAATTCTCGTCAGAATTGTTCGTTTCTATCTTCTTTTCAAAACTCTTAATAAAAATGATTTAAAGAACAGTTCTAATGACTACATATGTGTTTGTGTTCTGAAGGAAATAAGATAATCTTTTATTACTATCCCAATATATGGTTCTGTCAAGTAATGTCATTAAGTCAGTGTTTCTCAACCTTAGCAACTTTAAGATGAGTGGACTTCAACTCCCAAAATTCCCCAGCCAGCCATGCTGGCTGGGGAATTCTGGGAGTTGAAGTCCATCTTATCTGTCAAGTAATGTCATTAAGTCAGTGTTTCTCAACCTTAGCAACTTTAAGATGAGTGGACTTCAACTCCCAAAATTCCCCAGCCAGCCATGCTGGCTGGGGAATTCTGGGAGTTGAAGTCCATCTTACAGTTGCCAAGGTTAAGAAACATTACTTTAAGTACTGAGCACCTTGCTGGGGCCCTCTTGGTAAAAATCCTTGTGATGTCACTTGAAGGCTTTTCTCAGTCTTCCTTCTTTCCTTCCAAACAGCTTTCCAACTTCAGCCTTGTTCCAGTGTACCTGAGGACAGCATTTACAGGATTTTGTGGCTTCCTTTGGGCCATTTTCCTTTGCTTTTCACAACAAAGTGGGGATGGAACCGCAAGTTCAGCTTTTCGGCTGCTCCGAGGGGAGAAGGTGGATGTAGGCAAGACACCACCATGGAAGTAAACCATCAACAGAACAAAGATTCCTTCCTTGTTTGAAGCAGCCACTGGACAGTAGGAGAGCAACCTCCTTTACTGTAAAAAAAAGGAAAGTCCACCTCGATTTGAACGTGAGTCCTGGTGACTACTGGGATGTGTTCATTTTGGTTTCTTGGAATCCAGAGGGACATGTGCAAATCAGGCTAAAACGGGACATCTGTGACTGTTGATCCAACGTTTCCTCTGTGCTAACATGAATCTAGTCATGGTGGCCCTGTTTGCAAGGCATATTTAACTGAGTCTTGAGGAAGTGGGTCAATGAGGCAAGTGAAGGCCAACACTGAGTTGATGGAGCTAAAATTAACCTCTAAAGGGTTAGGGTTAGCCCCAGACAAATCCAGATTGGGGCTAAACCAACTCCCCTGATCAAGTAACTTTGTGTACTATGTAAAGTACTTATGAGAAAATGTGTTGCCCTGTCTGAAATCTGTGATTGAAACAAAGTCCTAGAGGGGTCCGGCAAAAATGGGGCTTCTCTAGGCCCTTTGTTTCGGTGACATTTTAGTTTTCTTCTTCTCTCAAGACCATAGAGAGAGGCAAAAAAGGGATAGATATGTGGGTACTCCCCGAAGCTACTTATGATGATATTGTTGTACCACTGTGGATTTCTCCAGTTGGACTACAGTGGAAGGGGAAGAAATCAATATCTTCTTTGCAATGGATGGGAAGATGAAAAATATCATCAATCGTTGTCAAATCATTGCCAGTGCATAAAGGTGACTTGGTTGACTAGGAGAGATTGCCATTGAATCAGCCATGTTGTGTGAATGGGACCACTGGGTGCTTAGTTGTATTTACAATAAGCCATCATTAAGACAGTGTAAACAAACTGGGTTGGTTTGCCCCTCCTTTGTGATGCAGGGTTGGGGAACCTCATGGCCCTCCCAATGTTGAACTACAACTCCCAGCATCCCTATGGGCCAAGCTGGCTAAAGCTGCTGGGAACTATAGTTTAGCAACTTTTTGTGGGCCATAGATCTTCTGCTTCATCTTAGGTGTGACGTGTAAACTTATTTAATAACAAGATTGTTTAAAAGCTATTCTTGTGGCTCTTCACACCCAAAGAAGCCTCTATTGTGAGTCAGCTTTTAAACTAGGTTATCAGCTTGGAAATCTTGGCTTGTGGGCATGTTAAATGAAGAACTGGGTTCCTGCATAATTGATTTAGTTGTATCAACCCAGCCCATTATAGTTCTTTTCACTAACCCATGGTTAAGCCAACCATAACTTGGAAGAATGCATGAACTAAGATGATCTTCTTCCATTTCTAGAGTTGTACCCTTGGTTTTGTTGTACACTTTGTTGTATAACAATTGTACACTTTGCAAGTTGTACACTTTGCAACATTGATCCACCCTAATGGACGAGTGCCTGTATGATGGCATGCCAGCCACGATGAGTTACTAGCTGGCAAAGAATGTTCTCCTTTCTTTTGATTGCAACCTGCAAATGAGGGAAGCCTTTGAGAACATCTGCTGGGGCCTCCTGTGATCCCACCAGAAGCTGTGGGATTACTGGTGTGACCCTAAGTGATTGCACAGTTCTTGATTTACTCTTATTCTGCCACTGGATTGGTCCTCTTTGATTTAGGGCCAGTAAAACATTGAACACGTTGTCTTTTTCTTAGCCCGAGCAGCCAGAAGGTTTGAGAAGTGAAGAAATTGGAGACCTGGAATCAACAGCCTTCTTTTTTTAAATAAAAACAGTAACGCATGTTCCACTTTGCAATGTATGGTAAGCTCTTCCTGATAGTTGTTTAGCTGTGGTAGTCCCTGTTCTGAAGTCTTGTCTTTACTGGCCAGAAATTGCTTTACTCGGTAAGTAAAGAGGTTTGGGGCAGTTTTGCTCTGCAAAACAGCTCTGGAGATGTTTTCCGCTAGGAAGGTCTGGTCTTTTAATTGGTAAAATAGAAACTGAGCAGGGTGGATTTGAAGACACTCAGTAAAATCTTAAGTTTCAGTCTCAGTCATTGTATCAAAAATTCAGTTCCAGATTCAGACTTTGGCATTGCTGGAGGAAGGAAGGAAGGAAGGAAGGAAGGAAGGAAGGAAGGAAGGAAGGAAGGAAGGAAGGAAGGA